ACCTTCCTGATGGCGCTCGTACGCGCCAACGTTTCATGGCCAAGCTCTGGCCCCAGTGGCGCAGCATCTCAAAGACACGAACCGCTGCTAGGACTCGATGAAGGTTGGCGCGAATGGGTTTCGGAATGAGTTCTTCGCGAGGACGGAGACCGACCATTTCGTGCTGGCCAAGTGTGAGATGGACGGGCTTGGTCGCATGCAGCCGCGCCCACATCTTCCCGATCTACAGTTCTGGGGGATCTCAGCCGGGGCCATGAAGTCTTGGATTGAGAATTGCCAGCATCATGATTGACATGCTCTCCAACCAGCTACGCCGACAGCTACCTGCCCGGGGTCTCCCCCCTGCGAGAGTGTGTCCAACGGACATGTTCCTGTGCGCGATGATAGGGGTCTCACGCTACCGCGTCGGCTTCGGTTTAATTCAGACTCCTCTGTGGCTTCTACCAGCAGCGTCTCCTCATCTGCGTATTCCTCGTCTACTTCGATGTCCAGCTCTTCTTCGTCATCGTCTGATCCTGAATTGTCTACTTGCCTTGTTGTTCGGGCAGAGTCTCTGCCTGTTTGCCCCATCGCTCCGCCCGCGGTCGTGGGGCCGCCGCCGACGTGGCCACCTTGCGCTGCAGTGCACCGACAGCCTCTCCCCCCCTCCTCCCCGCTCAGCGCCGTCGAGTGGAACGCGCGCGGTCTGTTTGCCTCTGCGAGAACTCGGCGGCAGAAGAACGCTGCCAGCAGATATCGGAACTTTACTCGTCGTTGTCGGAATTATCAGATTGTACGTGCTCAGGGAACTCATGGTAAGTTGGCAGACGTAGTTCATCTTCAGAATGAATTGAGAGACTCGAGTATTGGCGCCACTATGTTCCCCGACACGGTTCGCGCTGGCGGCGCCGTGACTTACGTATCCCCTGAATTTGCTCGGCAATTTACACATATTGCTCATCATGCTATCCACGAAGGGCGCATGCTATTGAGCGCGCTCGTGGGGGATCTGGGAACCTCGCCATCGTGAACGTGCACATGCCCAACGCATGCGAAGCGCTACGTATATATGCTAAATATTTGGAAAACATCCTCCTCGCTCCCCCACCTGCTGCACATTGCTTCTCGGTTATCCTGGGGGACTAGAATTTCACTCTCGAAGATGAGGGCCGCGCGTTTCCAGATGGGGGTGGATGGTCTAATGGCGACTCTCGGTGCCAAGAGGTTTGTCATCGCAAGTGTGGCCAGTGGATTGAATTTTTCAAGCCGAAGACGCCCGACGAGAGCTGCGGGATGGTTATGTTGCCCACTCGTCTAGGCTCGATCGTATCTACTCGTCTCTGCCTGCCGCGCTCATAGCTGATCTCACGACCCAGTCAGCTGTGATTGGTAAGTTATGTTTCTCGCGTACCTCTGATCATATTCCTGTTCTGGCGCAGATTACGACGTATCGCCCGTCGTCTGGCGACCCCCCCCCGGTGATCCCCAATTGGCTGAGTAAGAATGAAGCGCGCCAAAAGGCGTCCAAAAAAAATGCCGGAGGATCGCGAGGATGAGTTAAACGTGCTCGACGCAGCTTCTGCTTTAGCAGGGGCTAAAAGCATCGCGCAGGAGATTGCGCCCGTTCTTCGCCGACAGCAATCGGAGCGGATTGCGGTGCAGAAAGCTGAGCAGCATCACTGGTGCATGGTCGTTCTCCGCGGCATCCGTGTGCAACAAGACCACCTGCTCTGTAGGGCGCTGTCTTCTCACCCGGTGCTGCAGCAGTTCTCTGATGCCGGCAGTGCGCAGTGCAACGGTGTCGACGGCCTTTGCAGTCACGCGCAAGATGTGCACGCTGCCATGCTCAATGAGGAGGAGGAGGAGGAGGAGGAGGAGGAGGAGGAGGTGTCCAATGATAAGAACATGCAGTAGGAATCGAAAGCGAATGCTCTTAGGAAGCTACGACGTAAGCAATAAATTTGGCGAAAGTTCAAACGTCGTACGTATCTGTCTGCTGTGCTTGATGAAAGGGGGCGTCCGTGTGCTTCATTGGAGGCATCCGCTGCTTGCCTAGCTCAGTACTGGGGCAATGTTTGCGATGTGGTCCCTGCGGATCGTGAACACTGGGGTGACATTCTAGCTCATGTTCAGGTTGTCCCTGGGAGTGGTCCTAATGGTTCCGTTCGGGCTCAGGATGTGACTAGCAAGCCTGGTGGAGAAGAGATTTCTTGGGAAGTATCTTATGAGAGTTTTTACCAGTTGATTCGGTCGTGTCGTAACTCTATGCCTGGTCCTGATGGTATTCAATACTATTGCTGGCGTGCTGGGAATGCGCCTCGACATCTCCAACTTTTATCTGGAGATCGCGCGCGGGGCGGTAGTGGAGCTGCCGACTGAGATGAGGGGGATTTTACTGTTATTTGTTTACCGAAACGGGAGGGGCCAGGGGATGGGGATGGGAACGTCGTCAGACATTGTGTATGCACGAGGCCACTGTCGATGGCCACCACTGATGCCAAACTGCTATCTAGCTTGCGTTGCATGCCGCTGAATCAGTTATCTATTGCCACTGTTGCGTCGCTTCAGAAGTGTGTGAAAGGGAGACAAATGCTCACTAATGTTGTTCTTGTTCAGGCTGAAGGGTGGGGCCTTAAGCAGGACCCCGTTCGGGCTCGACTCGGCCGCCATCTTCTCTACGGGTTTGCCGCTGTTTTCCCATGTATTCTTCATGTCTGGCTGCGCACCGTGCTCTCTTCTATGTGTGTTCCTTCCTTTATATTCAGCGCTTCTACCGCATGCCTTGCTCTGACGATTATGGCGCGGCGCCATTGAAGGGGGGGGGGGGGGGGGGGGGAGGGGGGGGGGGGGGGGGGGGGGGGCAAGTTTGCTATCCGTCGAGGAGTGCGGCAGGGAGACCCAAGCTCGATGACTCTATTTTGTGTATGTTTAGACCTTGTTTTGCGCTGGATGCAGCGCAGGATGCCGCGTCAGCTTTCTCTTACTCTCGCGCGTGCGGATGACTGATTGTTCGGGATGACCGATCTCTTTTACTCACTCCCTCTGGTTTGGGAACTCCCCCTGTGCCTAGACCGCGCTATTGGATGCACTTGCGGGCTTCTTTCATGTGGGGGGATGGGGAAGGAACGCGTTAGACTGAAGTTGCAGGAGGCTGGAAGGGGGCCTGCACATATAGATATTTGCACGGATCTGAAGTACCTGGGCTGTTTTATTGGCCCGAATGCTGCTGGCAAGGCGTCGATTAGACCGTTGGGGAAGTTCGTGGCCCGCTGTGCGCAACTCCGTGCGTTGTCGTTGGGATATGCAATGACTATTGCAACGTTTAAATTCATGTGTGTCAGTGTCCTGCAGTTTGTCATGCAAGTTGAACCGGATACTGATATTGCCACCAAAACGTATAAGCATATGTTACAGCGTCTTACTTGTGGTCCATATCATGCGCTCTCGTATAACATGCTTGTGTCGTTGATGCAGCTTGGGTTTCCGTTTGAGTCTCCAGATATTCTCGCCGCTTCGAATGCTTGTCGCATCCGCTTTGCTACCAAATGTCCTGGCGTTGGAGACTGCTGGGAAGACCAAGCGCGTGCTCGACAGCAACGTTGTTTGCTATGCTCGAGTCGTATATCCGAGGGGATGGCATCAACGTTCGTTTCTGCTTGATTGTTTAAGACTAGCCAGAGCGCGCATGGGATTATTGATATGAGAACTATCCAGCCTGAGATTCTCCAACGTACAGTTTATGCTCGCCTTCTTTCGCTTCCTCTCCCTGGTCTGCCTGCGCGTGGTGGTCTTCTCCTTCGTATCCGTGTCTGGCTTCCCGAATCCAAAGGGCTGGATCTCTCTCCGCTGATCTCTCAGAATCGCCGTATTTCGCCTTCCGCTTCTTCCCGCTTTGTCATGAGAGTTCTTCGGATGTGTACCAGCGGTGTCTGTGCCGGTGCTCGCTACCACTCCCCTCCTCGTGGTTGTATCTTCGGGCGTTCGCAGCATGAGTACGGGTTCGACATGTCCAGAGACTATGGCGATATGCGCCGCTACAAGTTCTGCCGTCGCTGTCGCGAGATTTGTGTCAGATGGATGAGATCACGATGTCCGGTTGCTCCTGTTATGATTCCTTCGGTTGCAACCATTATCCTCTTCTACCCTCTCCCCGATGAGATTTCGCTGCTGTGCGCCTGCGTGTGCGATGCGTTCGCTTGCGCGCATAATCGTATTCGTCTTCGCCTGTCGGACCAAGCCGAAGACATCTTTGAAGCTCGTCTTCGCGTGCTCACGAGAAGGTATCAAGCTGTTGCCAGTGCGTGGAAGCCTGTCAGGCAAGGGCCTGGTTGGTTCGTGCCTGGATGAGCGATGCTGGCAATGCTTGTGTCGGTCCTGTCTGCAGGACTTCCTCCGCGGTCGGCTGCTGCATTTGCGGCGTGCCACGGGGGCGTGGTGCACTTTCGCCCGCGCCGTCCGCGGCCCTCGGCACGATCCTGAAGCAAACTCTTTAGCTTCAGGAGCGCTGATATCGCCGCGCCTAGGGGGCCCAAAAAATGAAGCACTGGCGGCACCGCCACCACATTCGCAATCTAGCAGCACGCGTTCTAGTTTTTTGTTGCGGGGGATGGAGCCCGAAAAGTATAGTGCTTTTGGAGGGCCCAAATGCTACCAGTGCGGGGTGTGCGTTTTCGTAGGTGAAGACCGCGGCGACCTTCGCAGCCACGCATTGGTCCATCTTCCTTGGCCTGCAACGGCTACTCGTGCTACATGTCTGGCTTCAGCTCCCCAGCGGTCTCGCGATGTCGGGTTCCATCGAACTCGAGATGCTGCAGCGGATGAAACGTTGGTTGGAGGGGGGCCCCGCGTCGGTGAAAAAAGTCCAAGGTCGCGAAGCGGGGCGGATGCGGCGACGACGCGGCCCAGGGAGGGGCAACGAAGAACGACCTCAAGCAGTTGCGCCAACTGATCCAGAAAGTGATCCGGTTCACGCTGTCGCACTCCCGCCAGATCGCCGCGCTGGGGAGAGCACCCGGCGCGAGGTCTTCCAGCTCCCAGCGGAAGGGGTGATCGACGTTGGCGCAGTTATCGCCCTGGCCGGTGCCGAGTGCAACGCGGCCAGCCAGGAGATGAAGCGGGCGCAGAAGTCAGGGGCCGCGGTCGACTTCAAGGCGCGCGGCAATCCGCGCATCGCCGTCATCAGCCAGCCCCGCGGTCTTGGCCGTCAGCGAGAAAGGCTCGCACCCCGACGAGGCGAGCTTCAAGCTCGCCCACACCTACTGGAACGAGGTCGCCCTGCGCCGCGCTCCGCAGCAGCTCGCGGAGATGATCCCCCCGTGCCGCTACGAGAAGGTCAGGGGCGACATGCCGTCGCCGCAGACTGGGATCCCCGTCGCGGCAGCGCAGGCCAGGCGCGCGCAGATTGGAGGTGTGGAACCACGCGTCGTACTTCCCCCTCCAGACCGCGCAGGTGAGCCGCTTCGCAGGCGCGGCCCCGCGGGGGCCACTCGAGGGGGGCGTGGTCGAGGAGGTTGAGGGCAAACGGGCGGGCAAGGAGGCGCGATTAGCTTGCCAGCGCCTGCCATGCTTCAGCAGAGCGAGGGACTGGCCAGCTTAATTGCCAGAGGTGTTGCGCGAGAGCCGTCGCAGCAGCGGCAGCCAGCATTGCATCCAACAGTCATGTTTGATTCGGACGTGTTGCCTTCTCTTCTTGTGGTGCACCTCCCCTTCAGCCTCCTCTCAGTAAAGGGAGTGGCCGCGGCCGTGGGCGAGGCAGGCGCGACTCGGCGATGCCCGCGATGCCACCTCCTAGCAAGGGGGGAGGCCGCTGGCGCGCTGACAGTCGCGGGGGAGGGACGGGTTTGGAGCGGGGCTCTGGGAGGGGAGGGGATGCATGATCGTCGGCCCACTAAGGGGGCGCTCCACCCCAGGCTGCGCGCCAAACGGGGGAGGCCACCTACAGGGGAAACGCGGCCTATGGCCGAGAGGCCTGAGGCCCATCCATATCTGCCGGCCGGGGGCAGGTAGTCGCGATAGCGACGCTCAGAAGGTAGTTCGCGTTGTCGGGGAGTGGACGGGCCTCCGCGAGCAGCACTCAGTGCTCCTCGCCCTCCCCCTCCTCCTCCTGCTCATCCTCCTCCTGCTTCCCCCCCTCCCCCATATTCCTCCTCCTCCTCCTCCTCCTCCTCCTCCCCCTCCTCCTCCCCCTCCTTCTCCTCCTCCTCCTCCTGCTCCTCCTCCGCCCCCCCCCCTCCCCCCCCCCCTCCTCCTCCTCCTCCTCCTCCTCCTCCTCCTCCTCCTTCCTCCTCCCTTCCTCTCCTCCTCCTCCTCCCCCCTCCTCCCTCCCTCCTTCCTCCTCCTCCTCCTCCTCCTCCTCCCCTCGTCCTCCCCCCCCTCCTCGTCTTCCTCCCCCTCCCTCCTCCTCGTCTCCTCTCCTCTTCCCCCTCTCCTCCTCGGCGGGGGCGGTGTCGCGCGCGCGCCCTTGTGCGATGGGGGCTCGCCGCCGCCTCCGCCGCGGCAGCCCCCCCCCCCCCCCCCTCCTCCAGTTGGCCCAGGCAGCGCGCCGCGCGAGCGCCCGCCGTGAAGAGGCCGCACCTTCACTACCTTCCGCGGGGCGCATACCCCCCCCCCCCCCCCCCCCCCCCCCCCCCCCTCCCCCCCCCCCCCCCCCCCCCCCCCACCCCCCATGCATGCAAGCCTGCCTGGCGGCGGCAGCGCCGCCATGGCGGCAGGCCTGTTGAGATTGGTCTTGCACAACCCACAGTGTGCGAACACGTTCAATCGATTGTTAGACATCGCGCGCGAGCTGGGCAGCAAGGATGCCATAGGGCTCATTGGCACCCAGTTGAAGAGTCGAGGCGAAGTCGCCGAAGACACGAGGCTGGTCGGGCAGCATTGCACCATCGAGGCGGGCTGCTCGCACGGGCAGTGCACCACCAAGAGTTGCGGCGTGACGCTGCTACTACGCAAGTCGAGATTCCCGAGGAAGAGCATCAGGGGGGTCTTCGACGTGCCGAAAGGAATCAGAGGACGAGTGCTCGGCGTGGTGGTAGAGGCTCAGGGCCTCAGGCTTGGATTTATATGGGCATATTTTCCCCCATCGGGAGACTTCGTCCAGTGGGCGCCAGGTGTGATAGAGGTATCGAGCAGATTCTGGAGCGGATTGCAGCAACAATGGCGGTGCTACGTGAGAGAGGTGCCGTTCCTATTCTGATGGCAGGCCTGCATGGAGCGCTTCCGCACAGCCCACTCGATCAGGTCGCAGGTGTTCACGGCGCGGGAAAGATCGCCCCCACATCGTCGAGATTCAGACCGTATGCTGAGGGATGGTCGCTCACCAGTGCGACGACGCACTACCCGGGACCGCCGACATACGTGGGAGAGAAAGGCAGTTCCTTCATAGATCACATTCTCCTCCCACGAGAGTTGTTGCAGACCATCGAGAGGGTCCATATTCTTTCTTCATCGGCACGTAGACTGCAGCTCATCAAGTCCCGGGGACCCCGGGATCACCGACCCGCACTCGCACCGCTGATTGCCCAGATAGCGGCGGGGCCGCTTCCCAGGCGCCCGCCCAGGCCTAACAGGGAGGCGCTCTACCAATGTGTGCAAGTGGGTTTTCGGGGGGGGGGGGGGGGAGAGCCAGGGGGGGGGGGTCAGCAAGATTGGGGACGAGTTCGAGACAGCTTCTCTGATAGGTGACGTGGACGCCATGAATGAACTATTGATAGGTGCTCTCAACAAAGCAGCGGTCGACCAGCTAGCAGTGCCCCCCCCCTGTGCAGCGAGAGCCACAATCAGCACGCTCAGGAGGTTAGCGCCCTATTGAAAGCTAGACGGGGATTTCGTGAATCAGCAGCACGCGTAGAAGACATAGAAGCACTTGCCATACATATACAGCACATGAGCAAGCATATAAGACAAGCCAGCGCGAAATATTGGCAGCAAATACAAGAGCGCCGAGCACAAGAGCTTAAAGCAGCAGCAGCACGCGAACAGAACAACTACCTAGTTCAGAAGTTAGCGAGACTGTTAGCATGTAGGCGTCGGGGCCCCCGACAGCGCCGATTTGCGGCGACGCCGAACAGCTCAGCATCGGCAAGGGCATGGGCCCACAGGATGCGTCTCCAGCCTCTCTCGGGCGGGTGCCAGGCAATCGAGAAGCACCCGATGCAGGTCAAAAACGAGATAGATCAGGAGGGGAGGGGGGCGATGGAGGAGTCGGAGGCTTTGTATCTTGTTGCTGAAGACTGGGGTTTGCTCAGTCGTGCTGTATGGAAGTTACGCTTTTGGCGAGCGTGGCCAAGTTGGAGCTTGCCACCAGAGCTACTACGCCTGCTTGTTCACCCGAAGTGGGCCAACGAGAGAAAGCCCAAGATCGGCGAAGGCATCGGATTCGATCAGGAGTTCGTGAAGATCGATCGATCCAGGGACGCGATGAAGGCTCTCCTGTTGGTGCCTAGGAAGCATCAGCGATTCCCCGTCATGTGGCATTGTGCACAGGCAGCACGCGTACCAAATAACAACCACAAGCTAGACTGCGACGGGGAGATATTAATCATGGTCATGTGCTGCCCGGGGCGCGCGTTTCACGCTGCTGCACTCGCGCGTAAAGAGCCCAAGTGGAAACCACCGAATTGGCTTCATGGGGGACTCAGGAGGCGCAGGCGCGAGCTGGCCATGGGCGTGCAACTTGTAGGATCGTACAGGGTGCAGGCAGCTGGTATCACACACATGCTCAGGCGCCATGATGCTACGAACGCGTACTACACCATTAGGCGCGACATCCTACTCGACAGTGCGCACGCGTACTATGCACCTACTGCTAGGAAGCTCATCATGTATAGGATTAGGCACAACATGCTCCTGTTAGAGGACGAGAGCAGTTCGTTCTGGCAGCAGGCGCAGGCTGGCCTCTTTCCAGGCGACACAGGAGCCACGCAGTTGTTTTGCAAGAGCTACTCGGGCCCAATTATGGAGAAGGTAGCCGATTGTGCAGTTCTCGAAGGATGGTACCCGCATGTGGAAGCAGCCAGACCGTGGCAGCCAGACTATACAGAGCAGATCGCCCCCACGGGCTACGTAGGTGATGTAGCCAACAAGGTGCTGGAGGACGGGGAGGGGGACATGGAGGAGACCATCAGGAAGGGCAGCGAGGAGGAGAACCAGTCCATAGATGAGGGGCTGGGGGTCGTGGGAGCGGGACAGAACATCGCGAAGCAGGAGAATGTCTGCTACTTTCGAGGCAGAGGTGCCCGCGCTCTTCAGAGACGCCTATGCGCTGGCGAGGCCGCAGGTATTGCAGGCAAGACCAAGTACCACATCAGGTATCTCGGAGGCCTACAGTCGGCCACATTCACTCCTGCGGACATCTCCAGATTTCATCCTGAAGAAGTGCAGAGCCATCCTCCACGGGACCGCTAAATCGGAGGAGGGAGGAGGACACGTCAAGACGATCAAGCATGAGGAGGTGATGAGGAAGTTCAGGTTTGCCCCGCTGTTTTTGGAACTCAGGACCCGACGAATTAAGTGGTTGCAGAAACTCGTGAAGATGAGGATAATTCCCAGCTTTTATCTGCAGTATTTGGCCCGACCAAGTTTGATGGGCCCGCCTTTGTAGATGGGCGAGTTCCAGAGCGAGCTAATCCATGGGCTCGACAAGCCCAGCAAGATCTTGACGCGCTCACGGCCACGGAGTCGGGAGCCAGCCTTGACGAATATCAGAGTACTTTCGACTTTCTTTTCACGGGCTGTCACGAGTTTGTGAGGCTCGACGTTGACGAGCTCCGCGCAAGGTTTTCTCTCCTCACTGCTGCCACCGACGAGCTTGCTCAGGCCGGCGACTCTGGAGGCAAGTGCAGATGCATGGAGACCAAAGAAGATGGCACACTATGCGGCACTACATGGCCCACAAAAAAAGCAGCTGCACGCACATATCGCAGCGCCGCCTGGGGGCAGTCACGGCAAAGCACATACCGGAAAAGTATTGACGACGACCAATCAATTTATGATTTGCGAAATTACGTTCAAAGGCAAAGAAATAGCACGGCAACATATAGCAGCAAGCATGACACGAGGGTACTGTCCTAAGTCGAGGGCCAGATATGCCAGTCCACTCGAGGAGCCCTCCAGTCTCAAGTGCCCCCTCTGCCTCGAGGTCTCCACCACCGTAGCCGATTTCGTCAAGCATTGCAGAGATCACCTTCAACCGCTTCTCGCACCCTCCTTCTACATCAGAGAGCTGCAGCAGGATGAGCGAGGCACCGCAGTCGTGGATAGCACGCTCTGGTGCGCGAGCAGCAAGTGCGAGAAGCAGTATATGAGGGGCGGGGGGCTTGGCGTCCAAGAAGCACAAGGCAGGGGCAGACGGGATGGACGAGGACGAGGACGAGGTGGACAGCACGATGGCCACCATGCAGGCGCTGCTGA